ATGGCATGGTGGAAAGGAATAGTGGGCAAAAGCTGTTTACCTCTTGACAGCCAGAAAGTAGAGAGCAGAGAAGAGCCAGGGACAGGAATACATCCTGCTAGGTCACACCCCTCTGACTCACCTCTTCCAACCAGGTCCTACCTCCAAACACATGAGACTTGAGGGACATTTTAGACCTAGACCGTAACAGCTGTAAAAGACAATTCCCAGGCCTCCTTTAAAAATAATTGAAAAAAATAAATACCTATAGTAAGACTTTGAAGGTTTTTATCATAACTCATCAGACTGTTCTGTCCTGAGTAATTTTGCCTCCCAATGAATCACTAATGTTCCTTGCAAGAAAGAAAAAATACCAGTGCTTGGTTATGGCACCCAGATTGCCCGCTGTACATAGAGTGGGTGAGCGGACCAGTTCTTTTCCACCCAGTTAGAAATCAGTGCTATAAAACATGATTGCTGAGAAAAATGCCATATTACATGAAGCACTTTGCCATGAGAGAAAGTGAGCAAACTGCTGCATAAGCACATTCACCAGGGGAGAAGGTAGCCAGCCCATCCATCCATTATCCTGCTGATGCCTGGGAGAGGCAGCGAGGGCAGGAAGCATAGCGTATTTGTGTTTTCTTGGAGAACCAATAATGAGACTCATGCATTCTTGGAAACATTCTTTTGGATAACTGGGTGAAGATTTTAGTTAGGTTAGGTGCCACCATACTTCCCACCAGGTGGATATGGGAGCTTCATTAACACTGGTCCTTTTTTGGCTTCTTCTGGACAAGTTCTCTTAAAAAGAGAACAGCACACCCCATTCAGTGATTCCTCATTGTTTTATCCTTATCGAGGAGCATGTTAAGTTTGGTCTTACAATGTGCAAATTCAAGGTGGCATTTCTGGCATTTTGTTATCCAAGAACCCCATAGAATTAAAATCATGTTCTCAGAAGAGAATATGAAATGAATAGTGGAATCCTACACCTACGTGACTCTTAACACCTTACACAAAATATTTGTTTTTCCCCTCAGAATGACACAGTCACTCAAAGATCACAGCTTTTCTTGCACAAAGCAAGTTTTTAATACATTTCATTATGAGGATTGAGCTTAATGCATTTGAAAGTAAGACTAACTTCTTTTATATCCTTGCACCATTCTACCTCTATAACATAAGACACAACTCAAAGCCTTTCTCACTTTGATATAGTTCAGGTAGAAGGGCCGGGATGTAGCTCAGCAGCACTTCCCCTGCCTGGCAAGCACAAGGTCCTGAGTTTGATCCCTAGTACTAGGGGGAAAAAAAGCAACACTTGATATAGTTAAAGTAAAAGAGAAATGTTCTTTTGGTTTCTTGGAAAGGGAACTAGACTGGAAAAATTACATAATGGTTCTGCTGATGTTTTTGTGTAGTTTTGGTGATTTTTTGTTAATAATGTCATAAACTGCCACATATGATTGTGCATGCTTGTAATCCTAACACTCAGGAGGCTGAGGCAAAAGGATCACAAGTTTGAGGTCAGGGCCGGGGATTTAGGTCAGTGGTTCCACCACCTACCTTGCAAGCGCAAGGTCCCGAGTTCAATCCCTGGTACGAGAAAAACAAATAAGTTTGAGGCCAGCCTGGGATACATACCAAGTTCCAGGCCATGATGGACTATATGATACCTTTTCTTTAAAAAAATTTTTTTTAAAGATCATAAAGCTGTGTTTATAAGATATGCCTTGTTCTTGAAGAATATGAGACTGAATTTTTTGATGGAAAAGCTGTTTCTTGGTGCCATGTCAAATTTCTAAAATATAGGCACCTTTTGAATTATTTCAAATCTTCATTATCTTTATGATTGAGATTGTCTAGTTTTGACATAATAGTATGGATTCTTTGTCAAGAATAAAATGCTCTGGGCCGGGGATTTAGCTCAGTGGTTTTGCCGCCTGCTGTGCAAGCGCAAGGACCCAAGTTCGATTCCCGGTACCAAAAAAAAGAATAAAATGTTCTAGGGCTGGGAGTCCAAGTCCCTAGGTTCAATCCCCATTACCACAAAGGAAAAAAAAATTATCTATTATTGAGCTAGAAAGAGACAGAAGGTTCTTTCTTCTATTTTCATTTTGGCTAGAATAGTGGGCCTCAGGGTGTTACCTGGACCAGTGGCATCAATATCATTTGGAACTTGTTAACAATATAGATTGTTAGGCCCCACATCAAACCTGTTCAATCAGAATTTGTAGATGTGGACCCACCCATCAGAGTTTTAATAAACTGTATAGATGCTTCCAGTGCACATTAAAGTTTTAGAACCACTAAGCCAATGATGGCCAACTTCATAGAGGTTCACTGATAACAAACAGCCAGCTGTGGTTAGGGTGTCATACATTCGCCACCTCTGCACTAGGCAAAAACTAGGGTGCAGAGGGTTCTGTAGACGCTTTTATACGGCTCCTCTTGACCATATAGAACTCAGGATGTGATCTGTACTGAGTCCTGGATTCCAGTGTTCTCACTACTGACTTCAGCCTTCCCTTTGGAAACCCTCCAGTATCCATAAAATCAGCAGCAGCATTTCCACCTGAGGTTGATTACCTTTAAATAAAGGAATTGGGTACAGAAATTTTCCACTAACCACAAAATCCACAAGTCAGAAATAAGAGGTTATTTTTGTCTTAGGCTGCTGAAGAAAAATGTGCTGTGGAAGAGAACATCAAGGAACTTGTACCTTTAGCTGAATAAACATTGGTAGAGGGCCGGGGATTTAGCTCAGTGGCACAGCACCTGCCTTGCAAGTGCATTAAGTCCTGAGTTCGGTTCCCGGTACCCCCAAAATAAAAACCCAAACAAAAAAACAATTGGTAGAACTTAGGTTGTATTGATAACCACATTGCATAGCTTTTCTTTTCTTGGTTGTTACACACAGAAATATTAAATAATATATGGATGTTATCCATATTGTTAATGTTGCAGTTGTTTGGATTAGGTAGTGGCAGTCACTGGCCAGGCCTTACATATCTTGTTCTCTAAATTGTTAGTCAACTGTCTGTCTCCTGTTATGTTGCAGGTCCCTAATACTGCCCCCAAATTCAGTGATTCTCCAGTAAGACTCATGGACTTCAGCATATAGTTGTGCTCACAGATAAGATTTATTACACTGAAAGCATATACAGCAAAATCAGTAAAGGGAAAAGGCACATGAAGCAAAAGTACAGGGAAAATCAGGTGCAGACTTCTGAGAAGTCACACAGGATGTGCTTAATCCTCCCAGAAGTGAGTTGTAACCAAATCTGTGAAGTGTCTGCCAGAGAATTTCAGTGCCCAGGGTCTGTTCATGGAGGCAACATTTTCTGACACATAAATCCAGACACTAGAAGGAAGGCAAGAACTCAACACAAGCCATAGTATTTGTACAGGCAGTTGAGGCACAGGGAGCCACTCTTAGCAGAACCTACCCGAATCCAGGTTCCAGATGCTGTTCAAGGATCATCCTTGTAAGGCTAGCAGTCAGATCTGCTTTATCTCTTGTTTGCACACCTGTCCTAAATAAATCAGTGTTTTGTTTTTTCCATTCCTTGTATCTACTGGTCTTGATGTATTTCTGTCATGATGTACTTAGAGTGTAACTCAGTGAGAACAGATAGCATCTACTCTGTAAATTCTTTGTCAGGCATCAAGGTGAGTGCATACAGTCTGGGCCTCCAATAAATCCTTCACTTTTGCTCTTGAGTGTGCCCGTGTTGCCTACTGCATCACTGCTTATTTAAATGCTGGCCATTCTCATGTCATGTGCAACACCCAGCTTTACCATGAAGCCTTAACTGATTAGACAGCTGACTTGGAGCTCTCCTTTTTCTTAATTCTAGTAACACTGAAAGTCTGTGCTCTTCACTTTAGTACTAAGCTTTACTCCAGTACTAAAATACTGCTTTGAGGCCAGGCATGGTAGCACACACCCTCTTAGCACTTGGGAGGCTGAGGCAGGAGGATCACAAGTTTAAAACCAGTCTGAGCAATTTAGCTAGACCCCATCTCAAAATCAAATGAACAGGGTTAAGGATATAGTACTACCCTGGAGTGCTTACCCAATGTGCACAAGGTCCTGGGTTCAATCCCCAGTACCACAAAATAATTTTTACCTGGGTCTGGGCTACATAGTGAGTTCAAGACCAGCCAGCTTGGACTATAGAGAGAGACCCTGTCTCAAACAAATACATACATATATACATAAATTTGATTAATGGTGTAAATTATATAAAGAAAAATTAACTAAATGAAATTAATACTCGAAGATTTTAGAGATGAACCAAAGAGTCTTCCTCTATAGAAGAATACTAGTTAATCCCATAGATTAAATCAGTAATAATAAAATTGCAGAAAGGCCATCTCTCTTTTTGCAGAAACCTCCTGTGATTTGAACAATGGAATGGCAGAAACCAAATCGTTTGAGTGGTGCCTTAATTGTCAGCTGAGCCTCAATTATCTGAGTTACGTTATACACAGTTGAGGAAGTCATATTAAACCAGTTATTGTCTATTATATAGTATATTTTGCCAAATGTTTTTCCCCAACCTGCAGTTCTGGGAAACTACCATCATTATAGATGTAGTAATAACTGTGATAGATCATGCTCCCCTTTCAGCACATGAAAGTATTATTAGCCATATTTTTCATTGACCATAGTGCTCTTGGTCTCATCTCCCATTGACAGGTAAAGACATTCCTGTTGTCACATTTTTCCCTGTTATTCTTGTTTTATCATTATTGAGATGCTAGAGACTTAGCACTAAGGTTGACCCCATTCAGCAGAAATTGGGAACTAAAGACTGAAAATTAGAAACACTAAGATTTTTTTTTACTGTTACTATATTCTTGATCAACTCAATTTTCTGTTCTTGTTTGCCTACCAAGCCTTGGCTAAGAGCTTATACTGTGGAATACTAAATTTAGACTCCAGGGACATCCAAAGGGCTGTAGCTGCCATTTAAGATTAATAAATCCTCTTTTGTTGCCAATCTTTGCAGGTGTAAAGAAGTGAATAAACGGAGACCCCGAAGTTTACTAGAGAAACTGCGCTGGGTGACCTTAGGCTACCATTATGACTGGGACAGTAAGGTATTTCATTTTCTTAATTCATTTGTTTTCCAGGGCCCACATCGTGTGCCTGTGTGTGTGCATGTGTGTGTGTGTGTGTGTGTGTGTGTTCAAGCTTAAAGTATCATAACCATAGCAAAGACTATCTTAAGTGAAAGGATCTCTTTCACCTATTCTGCTTTAAAAAGCTCTCTTGGGCCGGGGATTTAGCTCAGTGGTTCTGCCGCCTGCCTTGCAAGTGTAAGGACCCAAGTTCAATCCTCAGTACCAAAAAAAAATCAAAAACAAAAAAAAACGAATTTTCAAGATCCAGATAACTTTACCTGCCAGGAGATGCCAGATAAATGTCTAGCCAGGGGAAGGGTGGGAATTAATTTCCTACAATTAAGAAAGTTCTAAGTTTTCTTGAGCTACAATGTTTTCCTTATGTCTTCTGTGCTTCAAAAAAATGCGTCCTTTGTCACTAGCAGCATAGTGTTCTCATCTCAGTGAGTTGTTTGCCACCAAGTGGGAGGACTAATTCTAAGAATAATCTGAGTAAAACATACTGGTGGAGACCGTTTTCTCTGCCGAAAGGTTCGGTTTTTTAGCAACCAACTTAATAACAAATATATTAACTGTTCCAAGTAATGACAAATGTTGCTTAAAAAATATTTACAATATAGGCTGGGGATTTAGCTCAGTGGCACCACACCTACCTTGAAAGCTCAAGGTCATGAGTTCGATCTCTGGTACTGCAAAAAAAAGAAAAAAGAATTCCAATATAATTCTTAATTTCGCTCATACAAATTAAACAAGGTGTTTGTATTTAGGGAAGTGGCCAGGTGATTTTATTTGAGTTACAGTCTAGGTTTGATTCCTGCCTCCAGTGATAATATATGCCTCATAAATTGTGTGTAAGAATTAAGTGATTATACCAGTGCCTGGCTGTTCTAAGCAGTTAGCTGCATTAGTAGATAAAAAAGTTAGCTATTGTTTTTAATATTTTATTTGATACTGGGTTTTGGGGGATTTTTTGTTTTTTGTGTTTTGGGGGTTTTTTTGGTACCGGGGATTGAACTCAGGACCTTGCGCTTGCTAGGCAGGCGTGGTTTCAGTGAGTTACATCCCCGGCCCTGATACTGTTATTTTTAAGAACCTCAGAGTTAGCCTTGTTTGCTAGGAAAATGGAAAGTGAAAATTATCAAAACTTCTGAATAGCCAGGATTTAGCTCAGTGGTTCTGGCGCCTGCCTCGCAACCGCAAGGTCCCGAGTTTGATCCCCGGTACCAAAAAAAACCAAACAAACAAAACTTCTGAATAATCAGAGAAAACTAAAAATTGAGGGAGGAGTTCGACAAAACATAGTATACTATAAAAAATAATACATAGATAGATAGGGTTGAAAGGCCAAAAAGCTTTAATTATTCCATCATAGCAGAAGCTGTGTAGCTCTAGAATGGCTACCCAGACAGGTCAGTCTTCTAAGGGACTAAAGCTTAAAATGATAGAGGAAACCTTTGTAATCTCTAGCTATATCTTTAGTTTTGAGAATTACATAGGATCTCTTCTTGTTTACAGTTCAGTAAAAGGAGAACTTTACAAAAGTGTTCCTTGCACCTGAAATTAAAGCTCACTTCTGCCAGAGTAAGGCCCTTCTTTCCAGAGCTGTGGCTTTGTTGTTCCAGCTAGAATACATCAGGATACTAGTAAAAATGTCAGAAAAAGTACATTTTCTGACACCACATTAAAGGTTGATATAGCAAAGAAAGAGATGAGAGCAGAGGAGCATCAAGACAAGGGAGAGTGTGTAGGGCTACTACAGCCACACAGCCAAACATCCCTCAGAGTCATCTGTATAGGAAGCTGTAAATGAACATCAGAAACATAACTGCAGCCTTGTTCTTAAAAGTTGTGTACCGCAAAATCTTTTAGAGAGTATTTTAACCTTTGTTTATTTGGTGGGGGGGCACTTACAATCCTTAGATGCTAAAAACAGAAGCATTTTGGGGAAATAAGTGCTGAAAATATTTCCCTTTTAGAGTCCTGCCTTGGCCATGATATAAGTCAGACTTAATTCAGATGAGTTGAGCACGTCATTTTATCAGTTTGACCTGTGAAATTGGCAGTAAGCCATGATGCAGGCTGGTTATAGTATTTGAGTTGCTATTTTAACAAGCTTTTTATTTTAGGATAGTTTTAAATTTATAGAAAAGTTGAGAAGATAGTACAGCAAGATACCATACCCAGTTCCCCCTACTTAATAACATCTTTGATTACTATGGTACCTTTGTCTCAATAATGAACCAATAGTAATACAACATTATAACAGTAAAGTCCATACCTCATCAGATCTCCTTAGTTTTTACCTCATATACTTCTGTTCCAGAATCTCATCCAGGATACTACATTACATTTAGTCATCATATTTACTTAGGTATCGCGACAGCAACAGCTTTCAGTTGCCTTTTTACCCTAAAAGAACTGTCCTGCTTAGGATTTGAGTATACTAGAAAATGGTGTAGTAATTGCTTCATGCAATTACTTTATGAATTTGTGCATAGCATGGTGCCTGTCCTTTAGTAGGTGCTCAGTATTTTGAATGGTTTATTATTAGATTACTGAATGCCTTAAGAATGGATGGATGGGGCTCCAGGTGTAGACCAAGGGTAGAATGCTTGCTTGGTATACATGAGGCCCTGTGTTTGATTATCAACATTGAGAAAAAAAATTGATGGTGGGTAGATACCCTGTATGTTCATATTATTTTGTAAGTTGGGGGATTTTAACGTGGTAATTATTCATACGCCACAGTTTCCTATGTTCCTGAGATCATTGTTTATTTTTCTTTATTTTTCCTACTTTTATCAAAGAAGTACTCAGCAGATCATTATACACCTTTCCCTTCTGACCTGGCTTTCCTCTCAGAGCAAGTTGCTGCTGCCTGTGGGTTTCAGGGCTTCCGAGCCGAAGCAGGCATCCTGAATTACTACTACTTAGACTCCACACTGGGCATCCATGTAGACAGATCTGAACTAGATCACTCCAGACCCCTGTTATCATTCAGGTAAGTTAGTTCCAGGGATTCTGGATTGCTTTTTATTATTTAATTCTTTTTTCCAATGCATTAATTTTTTTAATGGCTCTGTAATCTTTCAATTCTGGGAACTTTAACAGTATATCATAAAGTAAAATTAGCCTTTTAACCCCGTTAGCTCTTTTAAGAGTAATGCCCAAATTACATTTATTGTTTCTGTTTAAGACACATGGAGTGTGTGGTTTGTAATGAAAGGTATTGTTAGTGCTCTGTGTAATAGACAAATGGAAGGCCATGAAATAAAGTGAGCAACCTTTTGGAATAGTGGAACAAAATACAGAACAAAACACAAAAGCCTGAAAACATTACTTTCCTTGTCTCTAAACATCAGTTTCAGTGTGTGCAAGGTACTACACCAGTATCTCAAGAAAGTGCGGGCCCCTTATTAATTGCCTTTATCTTTAAAGGAATAATATACATAGTGAAGAATTCAGACAATTTTATTGGAAGACTGAAATTTTAAAAGATACATCAATAAGGGGCCAGGGATTTAGCTCAGTGGTTTTGCCACCTGCTGCGCAAGCGCAAGGACCCGAGTTCAATCCCTGGTACCAAAAAAAGAAAAAGATCAATAAAACTTATGTAGGCAGTGTTAAAACTCGGTTCTTCATTTGCCTATTTACTGCATCAAGTTTCACTCTGCAGCCAGTCTGTGGGTTGTCATACTTGTAGCTAGCAGGTCATAGATTGGTCACTCAGAGACATAGAAGAGAAAGAGCTTAGCCCAGTTTAAAAATGAGGATTTGGAAGCAGTAAATGTCAAGCTGAAGTTACAAAATAATCCAGATGGCAACTTTTCTAACGGGTTTGTAATGAAAAACTCCTATTTTTACTTTTTTTTTTTTTTTTTTTTTTTTTTTGTAGCTTCGGACAGTCTGCCATCTTCCTCTTGGGTGGCATCAAAAGAGATGAGGCCCCCACAGCCATGTTTATGCACAGTGGTGACATTATGGTAATGTCGGGTTTCAGCCGCCTATTGAACCATGCTGTTCCTCGAATCCTTCCAAATCCTGAGGGAGAAGGTCTGCCTCACTGCCTGGAGACGCCCCTCCCAGCTGTCCTCCCCAAAGATGCAGTGGTACAGCCCTGTTCTGTGGAGGATTGGCAGGTGTGTGCCAGCTACTTGAGGACTGCTCGTGTTAACATGACTGTCCGGCAGGTACTGGCCACAGACCAGGACTTTCCTTTGGAACCCATGGAGGAGCAAAAAAGAGACGTCACCACAGAAGATTTTTGCCATCCTGATGACCAGAATAGCCAAGTAAAACGGGCCAGGTTAAACCTTGACAGCTGAGACTTGAAGGTCCCTTTCTGTTGCTCAGTCAGGTCTTTTAAGCACCATGGACTCTCATACCAACATGAGCCCAAACCAGACAGGGAAGAGCTCATGATGGTCACACTGTTGCCTTGAAACCCATCCTAGAGACCAGACTGATCAGCAAAGCATTTGACATGGTCACATGCTATTTAGATTACTGGCAATAGTATGTAATCATATCAAAGAGGAAGGACACATTCCTCTCAGCCTCTGCCATCATAGCTGAGGAAGGTAGCCAGGCATTTTACATGTCTGTGGAGTCTAAATACCTCAGGTTTTATTAATGGCAATATGTTATCCACTCTGGCCACCCCACTACAGCTGGCAATTTGTGGAAAAATTGTGATTCCATGAAGCAGCCATTAGAATCAACTCTCTGTCATCATCAAATTCTTTCATCTTTTCTTGCATCTTCTCTGGTTGTGCAGATGAATTTTATGCACATGAAGACAACGGGACTGGAAATCTTGTTGCCTAATCAAAGACATTATTTTTGCCCTAAAGATAAATATATGAAGAAAGTGAACAGTAGTACTTTCTCAACTATTTAAGTCTCCAAACTCTCCCAGTTGGTTTTTCAAAGCAGTTTTCATTTTTGGACTAAAAATGTCCCAAGGGTGTTCTGTTACTGTTTTCTCCATGAATAAACTTACTTGGTTTTAAATTAAAGATCTATATCTGTCTTTGAGGGTTAGTGTATCTGGGATTAGTTTTTTCCTTTTTGTATTTGCTGTATTGTTCATGCTGTTGAAGCCCTCTAGCTGTTTCTGCCCAACACCACCCTGCTCTGCCCTAAATATTCTTTGTGGCTATCTCACAGGAGAGAACATGCCTTGATAGTCCAGTCACTACTGTCTTGTCTGATGATAGCCTGGAAAATTTATGAAGAGCTTTTACTCTTTGGACCTCCACCAATGTGAGCCACTACACCCCGCACCAAGCTACTTTACATTTCTCTGGACTATAGATTGCTCATTCATAAAGTGAAAAATAAAAAAATGAATGTGTACTGCCATCTTCCTAGAGGAATTTTGGTATTTAAAAGGGAATTTGGTGCTCCTTTTTAGAAACATGATATGCCAATTGTTTTATTAGTCTTAAGGGCTCTCTAGAGGTGTCCTACTTAACTTGTCTATGTGGAACACTGGCTAGAAGCTAGGTCTGGCTGATATTGCATGTCTCATCTGTCCCACCTCTTGTTTGTTTAATTGCCAGAATTCAGTGCTGAGTTCACATGGTGAAGGTTTTTGTTTGTTTTGAGACAGGGCCTTATTGTGTATTCCAGGCTGGTCTTGAACTCACTATGTAGCCTAGCCTGGCCTCGAACTCAGAGCAATCCTCTTGCCTCACCCTCCCAAATGCTGGGATTACAGCCATGTTCCACTGTAGGGAACAGGGAAAGGGGACATACTAGAACCTCTGCAGTAAGACCTAGTCTCCTGCGAACCATGACAGCACAAGGCGGATTGACTTATTATACACAAAAGGTAGAAAAAATTAGACTTTGAGAAGAAGCTGAGCTTTGGGCCTGATCAGTGCTGCTCTGGGCGGCAAAGAGGAGAGCCCTGGAGCTTACCACACCATTTATTCAATACATTGGGAGAAGCAAATGTAACAAATGACTTGCAGAGAGTTCAATACATTGGGATAAACAGTAACAAATGACTGGGGGGTGGAGGAAATCCAAGAACAATGAGGAACTGAGTAGTTGATGATTTTGTTCCTCCCAGGATGTCTTCAGCTGTTGTAATCTTGTCCTGGAGCATCATAGCATCACCAGACCATTGAGGCCTTAGCTGTGACAGGAGGCCAAAATGGCGTTATGTCTGGAAATCCCATAGCTGGCCTGTAGGCAGGAGAACTAGGCCTAATCAAGTGATTTTTCCCCAAAATGATGTAGAATTGCTCCTGACATTCTACCACACCTGGAAATTTTTTCTTCAATAATTACAGATCACTTGTGTGTAAGCATGATAAGAAAATTTTGTATAATTTACCACTAGGAAAATTCTTAACTTTTCCACAATATACATTAAATGTGAGCCACATAAACCCAACATTATATCATTTAGTAAATCCAACACTGACAGTATTTCCTTAGCAGAAGAACAAATTACTCTATCTTCAGTTGAGTATCAACATTGGGTTGTGTTTAGAATCCACGTTGTACAAAATATCCAAACAGTAGACCCCCTCCGGGAAGTGGGGTGTTCATGCTATGAAAAGAGCAGGTGGAAACAGGCCTGCCAGGAGAGCAGATTCCTGTCTCCCTGGAGGGAATATGCTCACTGAATGGGATCCTGAGCAAGACTGTTTGCCCAGCTTGCATTCTCTCCCTCTCCCTCTCTTCCTCTGCCTTTTCTTTCCTCCTTCTCCCTCTATCTTTTCTCTCTTGAGTCTAGGATGTATATGGTATCAAGAGCAGAGATACAAACTTTAGGCCTGGGGAAATTGATGCCCTTCTTTTCCCAGGTTAAGTCTTCTTTTTCTCAAAAGTGGTCTGATGATGAATTAGCCCATCCTAATTATATTGTATCTTTGGCCCAGTAAATTTCACTTCTAGAGGGCTGGGCATGTTGGCACACACCTATAATCAGGAGGCTGAAGCAGGGTGACCACAAGTTCAAGGCCATCCAGGACAACATAGCAAATTCAAGGGTAACCCAGACTATACAGCAAGACCCTGTCTTTAAACATAACAGAAAACCTAGTCATACTGGTGCACCCCTATAATCCCAGCACTATAGAAGCCTGAGGCAAGAGGATTGCAAATTCAAGACCAACCTGGGCAATTTAGTGACTTAGTGAGACTCTGTCTCAAAACAAAGGGCCAGGGACGTGGCTCAGTGTGAAAGCCCTGCCTGCGTTTAATCCTCAGTCCAGAAACAAAATAATCAGAGCTGTTGAGAAAGGTTTTTGTGTAAGAATATTTATAAAAGTGAAATTTCAAAATAAGCTCAATATAGTATCAGGGAGTTGGTCGATTAGATTGTTTTTCAACAAGTGATAATGGAGCACCAATCCTTGACTGTACAAAGTCCCTGCATACAACTCACAAGAACAACTTGAAATACAGGAAAATACTTAATGCTATATTTGAGAAAATTCAATTAAAAACTACACTTTGTGGGGCCGAGGATTTCACTCAGTGGTTTCGATCCCTGCTGCGCAAGCACAAGGACCTGAGTTCTATCCTGGTACCAAAAAAAAAAAAAAAAATACACTTTGTAACCTAAATTTGTGTAGAATATTTACATACCTTTTAAAAACTGGAAAGTTTGGCCTTACAGTCAGACACATCCAGGAGACTGAGGACATCCCCCCTGACCAGGCATACTGGCTGCCAGTTTGGCCTTGCGGTGAGACCTGGGTAGCTGTGCCCTGCTCTGTCCAGCTTGCCCTGCCCCCTTCCATCCAGGGGACCATGAGGACACCTCCCCCCGCCCCCCCCACAGGGCTGCCGGCTTGATAACCCCACCCCCACCCCCATCCCCGCCTCTGGCCTCATGGCTGTGCAGCTACCCAGTTCTGCACTACAGAGGCACAGGGAAACATAAAGCCCATTGTCCTGAGTTGCAGAGGTGAACAGCAAGAGAGAGGGCCTCTTTCAGGCTCCCTGATGAAAACTGAAGCCCACTGGAAAAGTGAAAATAATGTCTGCAATACTTGGTAAGTTGGAGGGATCATCACCTCCCATTTGATCCTGGACTATTTTCAGGGGAAAGACAGCTGGAACCTGTAGTAGAGCCTTGTGGAGTTCAGCCTTGTGGGAGGGCAGGGAGCTCAATTTGGGACTTGCAGCCGAAAGTCTGTCAGAATCTCACGGGTCTGTGACTGGCTTACTGGGACTCATTGACTTATAACTGACAGTACCAAAAACGAAAATGAAAAGACATTTAAGCAAGTCACAAACCCAGCCTTCCACCCCACAAAAGGCAATTTCTGGGGGAAATGAGGTGCAAAAGTCTGATAATCAACCACCTGGACACACTGAACTGATAGCACAGGAAATGACAAAACATGAATGAGGCTCTAGAAGAATTCAAAGCAAAAATAATCTCGCAGATAACTACAGAGATGGTGAGGAGAGTGAAAGACATGATTAGAGGCTCTAGAACAGAAACAGATAAATAGATGAGCTCAGAAATATGCTGGAAGCTATGAGTGCCCAGCATAAGAAAGAAATAGAAACCATGATTGCCCGACATAAGAAAGAAATGGAATCCATGAAACAGATTCAAACATATATTCAGGAGATTAAAAACTCCATTGAAAGCATGCATAGCCGATTGAGGGAATCTGAAGATAGAATATCAGCTATAGAAGACAGGATTGTGGTTAAGGACCATGAAAACAGATTTCTTAAAAATAGGGACCACAAGAAATCAATCCAGCACCTGCTAGATGATGCAAGGAAGAATAACATCAGACTAATAGGAGTCCATGAAAATACAAGAGAAAATACAATTGACATTGAAAAACTGTTTACAGAAGTAATAGTGGAAAACTTCCCAGACAGAGGTGTAGAATTAGACATTCAGACAAGTGAGGAATATAGAACTCCAATTAGCCATGATCAAAAAAAATTATACCTAGACACATGATAATTAAGATCCCAGAAACCCAACAGAAGAACAAAATCCTACAGGCAGTTAGAGAAAATCAACTACAAAGGAAAGCCTATCAGAATTATGGCAGATTTTTCAACACAAACACTCAAGTCAAGGAGAGCTTGGAGTCAAGCCCGAAAAGAAAATAACTTCCAACCTAGAGTGTTGTATCCTGCAAAATTATCTTTCAAAATCAGTTGAGAAATTAGATCCTTTCACAACAAAGAACACCTGAGAAATTTCATGAATACCAAACCAGCACCCCAAACAATCCTAAGCAATACCCTAGAAAAAGACAATGAAGGTCACAACTCCATGAGGCCCGACAGAGGGAAGCCACCAGGCAAGGTAAGAAACTAAAGCAAAAGGAAAAAAAAAAACAAGAAGTAAAAGAACCACCAATAGTAAAACATCATGACAAGGATGAGTCAATATCAATTATAACTATCAATGTTAATGGCCTCAATTCACCAATCAAAAGAAATAGACTGACAGAATGGATTAAGAAGCAAAATCCAACAATATGCTGTGTACAAGAAACACACCTAACTCAAAAAGAAATACATATACTGAAAGTAAAAGGATGGAAAACAGTTCACACCACAGGAACCCAGAAAAAAGCAGGGGTAGCAATTCTATTTGCAGACAAACTAGATTTCAAACCAAAATTAATTTAAGAGAGACAAAGATGGTCACTACATCCTTGTAAAGGGAACAGTCCAAGAGGAAGAGATGACAATCATAAATATATATGCACCAAATACAAATGCCCCCAACTATGCAAAACAAATATTAATGGACAGGAAAAACCAAATAAGCTCTAATACAATTGTAGTGGGGGATCTCAGTATCCCTTTATCACAATTAGACAGATCATCTAGACAAAAAAATTAACAAAATTCTAGAATTGAACCAAGCTATTGAACAAATGAACTTAATAGATGTTTACAGAGTGTTCCACCCCACAAAATCCTTTTGGCTGCACATGGGTCATTCTCTAAAATAGACCACATGCTAGCTTATATGACATGTCTAAGTAAATGTAAAAGAATTGAAGTT